CATATCACCAAATTTAATTTCCCCAAGTCCTGTAACAACATCTTGAAGAGTAATTCCACCAGATGAGGATTTATCAAAATGATTAAATAATCTATCAATTATTTTATATCCAACGATTCTACGTCCTTGATTATCTCTTGGTTCACCATTTTCATTATTATTCAATTCATCATCTTCTAATTTTGCCCAATTAGCAATACTTCCCAAAAATCGATAAAAAGTAGTTAAATCCATTCTAGAATCATTACGAGCACTTTTTTGTTTACCATAAAATTGAGCAGTATAATATTTATCATAAATTACGGAAATATCTTCTTTTGAAAATTTTAAAGTATCTTGAAGATTTCTTATTATATCACGTTTTGTAAAACTTTCTATATTATGAACTACTTTAAGTTGAAAAGTATTTCGAAGTTCAAGTACACTTTGAGTTGTAATACTTGAAAATTCCTTAAAAGCTACATGCATTAATTCGTCAAATTTAGTTATTTCTTTTAATTTCGGATTTGTGGTTTCTGGGTGTACTGCTTCATCTAATGATGAAAAATACTTTTTAAGTGTATTAATGAATGCACCATCATCGGAAACTTCCATGAGTTCATTTCCGTTTATCTTAAGAATAGCTAAAAAAATTAAAATGAATTAAATGAATTAAATGAATTAAATGAATTAAATGAATTAAATGAATTAAATGAATTAAATGAATTAAATGAATTAAATTAATTAAATTAATTAGAATTGACTTGTATATTATAATGGCAAAAATAAATTCTTACCTAATCTGCACAAAAGAGGTTGATTTAAATAGTATTCACATAACAAATTAATAATAATTAATAATAATAATATATGAACTTGATACGTTACCCTATTTGAAATAAAACCTTTGGACCTTCCATAAAGAAACAATCAAGAACTCGGAAAGCAAACATAAGAGGCATAGAATTAATGTAAAGACTGAGAAACCAAGGTAGGCAAGCAACTGATAGTTGAATATCAACTTTCTGGAAATGGCCATAAAGTATTGCCATTTTACTTTGAACATAGTGTTCAAATATCATTTGATCAAGAATTGCACCATACATTGAAGTGCTGTAAAGAAAAAAAGAAACAAAAAAAAAGTAGTGATTAAATAAAAATAATAATAATTTTTTAAGAATTGAATTGATTCAAAATATATAATATTGAA